TGCCCGGCTAACTTTGTATTTTTGTAGAGATGGAGTTTCACCATGTTGGCCAGTCTGGTCTTGAACTCCTAATCTCAGGTGATCCACCCACCTTGGCCTCTCAAAATGCTGGGATTACAGCCGTGAGCCACCATACCTGGCCCATTCTAAGCATTTTATGCACTGTATTAGTTATCTGTAGCTATGTAACACGTTTTTCTAAAACTCAGGGGCCTAAAGGAATAACTATTTTCTCACAGTGCCTGTGGATTAGAAATTTGGGGCTGAGTGGGGTGGCTCATGTCTATAAATCTCAGCACTTTGAGAGGTCAAGGTGGGAGGATTGCTTGAGGCCAGGAGTTCAAGGCAAGTCTGGACAACAGAGCAAGACTGCATCTCTAATATACATATATATGTATTAGCCAGGCGTGGTGGTGTGTGCTTATAGTCCCAGCTGCCTGGGAGTGAGGCAGAAAGATCGCTTGAGCCTGGGAGGTCGAGGCCTCAGTGAACCATGATTGTGCCATTGCACTTTAGCCTGAGTGACAGAGTGAGACGCCGGGTCTAAAAAAAGAACAAAAAAGGCCGGGCACAGTGACTCATGCCTGTAATCCCAGCACTTTGGGAGGCTGAGGCGGGCAGGTCATCTGAAATCAGGAGTTCGAGACCAGCCTGGCTAACATGGTGAAACCCTGTCTCTATTAAAAATACAAAAACAACCGGCCATGGTGGTGGGCGCCTATAATTCCAGCTATTCGGGAGGCTGAGGCAGGAGAATCGCTTGAACCCGGGAGGCAGAAGTGGCAGTCAGCCAAGATCGCACCACTGCACTCTAGCCTGGGCAACACAGTGAAATTCTGTCTCAAAAAAAAAAAAAAAAGAAACCCTAATATATATATGTATTAGCCAGGCGTGTGGTGTGTGCTTATAGTCCCAGCTGCCTGGGATGAGCAGAAAGATCGCTGAGCTCAAGGTCGAGGCCTGTGTGAATCCGCGATTGTGCCATTGCACTTTAGCCTGAGGACAGAGTGAGACGCCGGGTCTAAAAAGAACAAAAAAGGCACAGTGACTCATGCCTGTAATCCCAGCACTTTGGGAGGCTGAGGCGGGCAGGTCATCTGAAATCAGGAGTTCGAGACCAGCCTGGCTAACATGGTGAAACCTCTGTCTCCTATTAAAATACAAAACAACCGCCATGGTGGTGGGCGCCTATAATTCCAGCTATTCGGGAGGCTGAGGCAGGAGAATCGCTTGAACCCGGGAGGCAGAAGTGGCAGTCAGCCAAGATCGCACCACTGCACTCTAGCCTGGGCAACACAGTGAAATTCTGGTCTCAAAAAAAAAAAAAAAAAGAAAGAAAGTTAAGAAAGAAAAGAAAAGAAAAAAAGAGTAGGGCAGTGGCTCACGCCTGTAATCTCAGCACTTGGGAGGCCGCGGTGGGCGGATCACTGAGGTCAGAGATCAAGCACCATCCTGGGCAACATGGTGAAATCCCATCTCAACAAATACATGCACCAGCCGGGCGTGGTGGCGGGCACCTGTAGTCCCACATACTGAGGCTGAGGCAGGAGAATGGTGTGAACCTGGGAGGCAGATCTGCAGTGAGCTGGAGATTCGCCACTGCACTCCAGCCTGGGCGACAGAGCAAGATTCTTGTTCTTGTTAAAAAAAAAAAAAAAAAAAAAAAAAAAGAACAGAAAAGAAAAATTTGGGAGTGTGGTTCCGGCTCAGGGTCTCCCATGATGCTGTATCCAAGATGTCAGTCAGGGCTGCAGAAATGTAAAGTTTGACTAGGGCTGGAGGATCAGGTTCCAAGATGGGCACACTTGTATGCCTGGCAAGTTGGTGTTGGCTGTGAGCAGGATGCCTCAGTTCCTTGACACATGGAGCTCTCCATAGGGCTTCTTGAATGTTCTCCTTTTTTTTTTTTTTTTTTTTTTTTAAGATGGAGTCTCGCTCTGTTACTCAAGCTGGAGTGCAGTGGCGCGATCTCAGCTTACTGCAACCTCTACCTCCCGTGTTCAAGCGATTCTTCTGCCTTAGCCCCCAAGTAGCTGGGATTACAGGCACCTGCCACCATGCCTGGCTAATTTTTGTATTTTTAGTAGAGACGGGGTTTCACTATCTTGGCCAGACTGGTCTCAAACTCCTGACCTCAGGTGATCCACCTGCCTCGGCTTCCCAAAGTGCTGGGATTACCGGCATGAGCCACCGCGCCTGGCCAGGGATAGGTGTTTCCCATTTAGAAAGTGAGACAAGAGTAGGCCAGATTGGGAAGACTTTTCCCAGCAGAGGCTCAGGGGAGAGCGGGCCAAGATGCCGAAGTGCTTTCCCCTGTTGAGAGCCTGGCTTGTGGGAGGTGGAAGGAGGAGAGTTCGGTGATCTCAGGATCAGAGCAGGGAAAGAGAAGCTAAGGAGGTACTAATGTGGTTCCTCATTGTCATGGAGAGGCCTCTGCACAGGAATGGGCCTCCCTCAATCTGTGCCTCTCCCATCTCACCCCCATCTCACCCCCATCCAAGGCGGTGAGGGCCCCCAGGCAGCTGAGTACCCTCTCTGCTTGTCTTCCCTGTGGAGGAAGAATTGGCCCTCCTGCTGTGAATGTGGTCCTCAGTCCCGGATGCAGAGCCTGCGGGGCGGGGCAGAGGTTAGGGAAGGGCAGTCGGAGTGGGCGGTGCCCATCTGGGTCTCCAGGTGTGAGTGTTAATGGGTGCTGCATCCCAGCCTGAAGGAGATGCTCCCTAATGGCGATTAGGATGACCAGGCTGTGCTTCCCCCACATCCCACCCTTTTTATGGGCAAAGGTGGCGATGGGAGAAACTTAAATCCAAAAGTTAAAAAATAGGCCGGCCTCGCGGCCTCAGCGTCATTTTCTTGGAAACCTCTGCGCCACGAGAGCCAAGTGGAGGAAGAAGCGAATGCGCAGGCTGAAGCGCAAAAGAAGAAAGATGAGGCAGAGGTCCGAGTAAACCGCTAGCTTGTTGCACCGTGGAGGCCACAGGAACAGAAACAGGGAATGCCGGGCGCTGGGGATGCTGGTACACGCTGTGGGACTGCATGCTACTGTCTAGAGGTTGTCTCAATGGATCTAGAACTTCATCGCCCTCTGATCGCGAATCACCTCTGAGACCCACCTTGCTCATAAACAAAACTGCCCATGTTGGTCCTCTGCCCTGGAGTTGTGACATTCTGGACTATATCTGTGTTTATTTGTGGCCGAGTGTAACAACCCTATAATAAATCACCTCTTCCACTCTTTTAGCTAAAGAATTAAAAAAAAAAAAAAAAAAATTGGCCGGCGTGGTGGCTCACGCCTGTAATCCCAACACTTTGGGAAGCTGAGGCAGGTAAGGTCAAGAGTTCGAGACCAGCCTGGCCAACATGGTGAAACCCCGTCTCTACTAAAAATACAAAAATTAGTCCGGCGTGGTGGCAGGTGCCTGTAGTCCCAGCTACCTGGGAGGCCGAGGCAGGAGAATCGCTTGAACCTGGGAAGTAGAGGTTGCAGTAAGCTGAGATCATGCCACTGCACTCTAGCCTGGGCGACAAAGCGAGACTCCATCTCAAAAAAAAAAAAAAAAAAAAAAAAAAAAAGTAAGAAATAAATAACGAGAAGGGGAGAAAAGACCAGCTTGGCCAACATGGTGAAACCTTATCTCTACTAAAAATACAAAAAACATTAGCCAGGTATGATGGTGCAATGCCTGTAATCCCAGCTACTCAAGAGGCTGAGGAAGGAGAATCGCTTGAACCCGGGAGGTAGAGGTTGCAGTGAGCTGAGCGTGACAGGAGCGAGACTCCATCTCAAAAAAAAAAAAACAAAAAAAACACAAAACCAAAGGCTTCTAATTCCCTGGTTTTGTTTTTTTTTTTTCCAAGCCCAAACTTAAAGCAGGCTTGAGTCTCTGCCTCTGGTTCCCTGCTGAGGCAAGATAGGGTGAAGAGGACCTGAGCCTGGAGTCCATCCCACGGTGCCCTGTCTCCTCGGCCTCCCCTCTGTCTGTGATGGAAATATATGTTTGATCTTTACCCTGGTCTCTGGCACGGAGCTCCTGAAACCCTTGGAATTTCCCGAGTGATAGTGGTGCCAGGAGCATCTGCTGTTATTTCTAAGCCCCTTTCAACCACACCTGCGCTGATGCTGATGGAGTGACTCTTGGAGGATGGGGGCTGGTTGCCGGAGGAACCAACCATGTGATTAGAGGGTTGGAACTTTCAACCCCCTCCCCAGCCTCCAGGTAGAGGAGAGGAGCTGACAGTGAGTTCAATTACCAAGGCCAATGATTTAATCAATCATGCTACATAATGGAGCCTCCATAAAACCCCTAAACAATGGAGTTCAGAGAACTTACAGGTTGGAGAAGGCTTGGAGGTGCTGGAAGGATGTCATGCCCAGAGAAGGCATGGAAGCTCCATACCCCTCCCGCAAACCTTGCTGGAAGCATCTCATCCACCTGGTTATTCATCTGTATCCTTTGTGATGTAATTTCCTTCCTTCCTCCCTCTTTCCCTCCCTGCTTCCCTCCCTCCCTTCCTCCCTCCCTCCTTTCCTTCCTTCCTTCCTTCCTTCCTTCCTTCTTTCCTTCCTTCCTTCCTCCCTTCCTCCCTCCCTCCCTTTGTTCTTGATAGAGTCTCACTCTGTTGCCCAGGCTGGAGTGCAGTGGTGCAATCTTGGCTCACTTCAGCCTCCGCCTCCTGAGTTCAAGTGATTCTCCTGCCTCAGCCACGTGAGTAGCTGGGATTACAAGCATGTGCCACCAGGCCTGGCTAATTTTTGTATTTTTAATAGAGTTGGGGTTTCACCATGTTGGCCAGGCTAATCTCAAACTCCTGACCTCAAGTGATTTTCCTGCTTCGGCCTCCCAAAGTGCTGGGATTACAGGTGTGAGCCACTGCACCTGGTCTTTTTTCCCGGCTAATTTTTGTATTTTCTGTAGAGACATGGTTTCACCATGTTGCCCAGGCTGGTCTCAAACTCCTGAGCTCAAGTCATCTGCCCACCTCGGCCTCCCAGGGTGCTGAGATTACAGGCGTGAGCCACCGTGCCTGCCCTATAATATTCCTTTAAAACAAACTGGTAAATGTAAGTAAATGTTTCCCTCAGTTTCGTGAGCCATTCTATCAAATTATTCAACCCGAGGTAGGGGTCGTGGGGACCCCTGAGTTCTAACTGGCCAGTGAGAAGGACAAGAGGCTTGGAGGAACAGTTGGCATCTGAAGTCAGGGGCATCTGTGAGAATGAGCCCTTAACTAGGTAGGGGTCTGCACTAACTAGGTACTGAGTGCCAGAACCGAATTAAATTATAGGACATCCAGTTGACGTCTGCAGAGAATTGGAGAATTGGTTGGCACAGGGGGAAAAAACCCACACATCTGTTGTCAGAATGATATGTGAGAGTATTAAAACACTTTTTTTTTTCCTTTTTATCACTCCATAAGCAGGGCCTCGGCAGGCCAGTCTCTCTCTCCTAATCCAGCAGTCAGCGCCCCTTCGCTCTGCCCCCTGCTTCTCCCTCGCCCTCTCCCGGTCTCCACAGCACGCTGATTCTGTCACTCCCCTGTGTAAGACCACTCCCCAGAGCCCTCAGGTAAGGCCCAAGCTCCTTACCATGTTCTGCAGGCCCTCTAGAATGAAGCTCCCCTGGGGGAAGTTGTGTCTGCTGGTCCACCTGGGTCTCCAGCACCTGGCATGGAGTAGAGGCTCAGTGAAAGTTTGCTAGAGGGATGAATCCATGCCTGCCCCGGCTCCCGCCTCTCTGGCTACATCTACCTTCATCTCTCCTCATGTGCCCTAGCCTCACATTCATTCAATTATCAGAGGACCTCTAGTACTTCCCAGAGTACACTGGGTGTTCAGAGGAAAGTCAGATTTCACAAGCTCTTCCCTGAAGAAGCTTGTGGAACAATTGGGTTTTTCCTACCAAGAACTGGGACTTTGCTTGTTGCATCCCTTCAGCCTAGAAGGCTTAGCAACATCTGACCTGTCCTTCAGGCCTCAGCTCAAACACTACTACCTATTTATTTATTTGTTTATTTGAGACAGAGTTTTGCTCTTTTCACCCAGGCTGGAGTGAAACAGCATGATCTCAGCTCACTACAACCTCTGCCTCCCAGAGTCAAGTGATTATCCTGCCTCAGCCTCCTGAGTAGCTGGGATAACAGGTGCCCGCCACTAGCTGGGATAACAGGTGCCCGCCACCACACCTGGCTAATTTTTATATTTTTAGTAGAGACGGGGTTCCACCATGTTGACCAAGCTGGTCTCGAACTCCTGTCCTTAGGTGATCCACCCACCTTGGCCTGCCACAGTGCTGGGATTATAGGCGTGAGCCATCGTGCCTGGCCACTTCTGCCTCTTCCATGAAGTCTGCCTTCATGGTTTCATTCAGCCCAGTGAGAACATTCACCCACTTCTTTGCATTCCCAAGGCCCCCCCAGTTCTTCCTTATATGAGAGCTACTGCTTTCATTAATTATTTTATGGATTTACTCACCTAATAGCATGTACTGAGAACCTGCTTCCGACAGTACTGGTGGTGCGCGGCTGCAGTCCTAGCTCCTTGGAAGGCTGAGGCGGGAGGATCGCATACTAATTTGTAAACCCACTGCAAGGTGAGGAAGCTGAACGGAGACTCCTGCATTAATCTGGGACTCCTGAAAGAAGGTAAAACCGTCCCAGGTTGGTTGCAACCTCTGGCATCTGGCAGAAGCAAATGAAATCTGTCTCTGGAGTAAAACATCTCAAATATAGGCACTTGGAATTCCTACAGATTAAGATCAATAAAATATAATATTAAACTGTGTACGGTGGTACATACCCATAGTCCCAGCTACTCGGGGGCCTGAGGAGGAGGATCCCTGGAGCCCAGGAGCTTGAGACTGCAGGACACTATAATTGTGCCTGTGAATAGCCACTGCACTTTAGCCTGGGCAACATAGCAAGACCTATCTCTAAGAGAAAATAAAATATAACAAAATGTAATATAATTTCACAATCATAGACACACAAGGAAACAATCCACTGTGAACGAGAGTCAGCAGAAACTACTATAAATTTAGATCTGTAAGGATATTAAAAATTGGAATAAAAACAAAACTATGAATGAAATATTAAAGAAAATGTGGAATAGGCCAGGCATGATGGCTCATGACTGCAATCTCAACTCTTTGGGAGGCCGAGGTAGGAGGACTGTTTGAGCTCAGGAGTTTGAGACCAGCCTTGACAATATAATGAGACTCCATCTCTACTTATTAAAAAAAAAAAAATGGCCGGGCGCGGTAGTTCATGCCTGTAATCCCAGTGCTTTAGGAGGACGAGGTAGGAGGATTGCTTGAGCTCAGGATTTTGAGACCAGCCTTGACAATATAATGAGACTCCATCTCCACTTATTAAAAAATAAAAAGGGCCAGATGCAGAGGCTCACACCTATAATGCCAGGACTTTGGAAGGCCGAGGTGGAGCATGCCTGTAGTCCCAGCTACTCAGGAGGCTGAGGTAGAAGAATAGCTTGAACCCAGGAGGCAGAGGTTGCTGTGAGCTGAGATCTTGCCACTGCACTCCAGCCTGGGCAACAGAGTGAGACTCTGTCTCAAAAAAAAAAAAAAAGGGGGGGGGGGGCTGGGTGTGGTGGCTCACACCCGTAATCCCAGCACTTTGGGAGCCCAAGGCAGGTGGATTACCTCAGGTCAGAAGTTCGAGACTAGCCTTGCCCAACATGGTGAAACCCCATCTCTACTAAAAATACAAAAATTAGCCAGGCATGGTGGCATGCACTTGTAAGCCTTAGGAGGCTGAGGCACGAGAATCGCTTGAACCTGGGAGGCAGAGGCTGAAGTGAGCCGAGATCATGCCACTGCATGCCGGTCTGGGAGGCAGAATGAGACACTGTCTCAAAAACAAAACAAAACAAAACAAAAACTCCCCAAACCAAAAAAACAACAACAACCAAAAGAGAGAATGTGAAATGAAAAATGAGAAAGCAACAACATCCTGTCTATACAAAAATAAAAATAAAAAATTAGTTGGACATGGTGGTGCATGTAATCTGAGCTACTTAGAAGGCTGAGGTGAGAGGATCAACTGAACCCAGGACTTTGAGGCTGCAGTGAGCTATGATCACAATGCATCACTATACTCTAGCCTGGGCCACAGAGCAAGACCTTGTCCCAAGAAAGAAAGAAGAAAGAGAGAGAGAGAGAGAGAGAAAAGAAAAGAAAAAAATAAGAAAGCTGGGCATGGTGGCATATACCTGTAGTGTAGTCCCAGTTCCTCAGGAGGTTGATTTGAGGTGAGAGAATCACTTGTTGCCCAGGCTATTCTTGAACTCCTGGCCTCAAGTGATCCTCCCGCCTTGGCCTCCCAAAATGATGGGATTACAGGCATGAGCCACCACGCTGGGCCGAGTTCAGGAGTTTGAATCAGCCTGGGCTGGGCAACATAGCTCCTTTCTGTCTCTCTGTCTCTCTTTTTTTTTTTTTTGAAACAAGTTCTTGCTCTGTTGCCCAGGCTGAAGTGTAATGGCACCATCATGGCTCACTGAAGCCTCAAATTCCTGGGCTCAAGCAATCCTCCCATCTCAGCCTCCCGAGTAACTGGGACTATAGGTGCATGCAATCAGGCTTGACTAATTTTTATTTTATTTTTGTAGAGACAGGGGTCTCACTATGTTGCCCAGGCTGGTCTTGAGCTCCTGGCTTCAAGTGATCTTCCCACCTGGGCCTCCCAAAGTGCTGGGATTACAGGTGTGACCCACCACACCCAGCTGAAACAATTACTATTTGTTTTTTTTGTTTTTTTTTGTTTTTTTTTGAGACGGAGTATCGCTCTGTCGCCCAGGCTGGAGTGCAGTGGCGCCATCTCGGCTCACTGCAAGCTCCGCCTCCCGGGTTCACGCCATTCTCCTGCCTCAGCCTCCTGAGTAGCTGGGACTACAGGCGCCCGCCACCGCGCCCGGCTAATTTTTTGTATTTTTAGTAGAGACGGGGTTTCACCGTGGTCTCGATCTCCTGACCTTGTGATCCGCCCGCCTCGGCCTCCCAAAGTGCTGGGATTACAGGTGTGAGCCACCGCGCCCGGCTACTATTTGGTTTTTTTTGAGACAGGCTCTCGCTCTGTTGCCCAGGCTGGAATGCAGTGGCAGGATCTTAGCTCACTGCAACGTTTGCCTCCTGGTTTCAAGCAATTCTGCTGCCTTAGCCTCCCGAGCAGCTGGGACTACAGGTGCTTGCTGCTATGCCCAGCTAATTTTTGTTATGTTTTGTAGAGACAGGATTTCATGATGTTGCCCAGACTAATCTCAAAATCCTAGGCTCAAGTGATCTTCCAGCTTCATACTCCCAAAAGTGCTGGGATTACAGATGTGAGCCATAACTCCTGGCACAATTAATTAAGTTTTTAAAAAATAATAAAGCAACAGAAGACTATAAAAGATGACCAGGGACATTAAAGAGCCAAAAGTATCTTTGGCTGAAAAAATGACATGAAAAATGTAATTGCTGAAGTTAAAAAAAAACTTTTTTTTCTTTTTTTTTTTTTTGAGACAGAGTACTTACTCAGTCGCCCAGGCTGGAGTGCAGTGACACAATCTCAGCTCACTGCAACCTCCACCTCCCGGGTTCAAGTGATTCTCCTGCCTCAGCCTCCTGAGTAGGTGGCAAGACAGGCATGTGTCACCACACCCAGCTAATTTCCATATTTTTAGTAGGGACAGGGATTCACCACGTTGACCAGGCTGGTCTTAAACTCCTGACCTCAGGTGATCCACCCGCCTCAGTCTCCCAAAGTTCTGGGATTACAGGCGTGAGCCTCCATGCTCGGCCCCCAAAAAAGACTCTTAAATATGACACAGAAAGCACTAAAAGAAAAAAAATGAATAAATTAGACTCCACCCAAATCTAAAAATTGTCATTTTCCAAAGACACTGTTAAGAAAATAAAAGGGGGCCGGGCGCGGTGGCTCAAGCCTGTAATCCCAGCACTTTGGGAGGCCGAGACGGGCGGATCACGAGGTCAGGAGATCGAGACCATCCTGGCGAACACCGTGAAACCCCGTCTCTACTAAAAAATATAAAAAAACTAGCCGGGCGAGGTGGCGGGCACCTGTAGTCCCAGCTACTCGGGAGGCTGAGGCAGGAGAATGGCGTAAACCCGGGAGGCGGAGCTTGCAGTGAGCCGAGATCCGGCCACTGCACTCCAGCCTCGGCCACAGAGCGAGACTCCGTCTCAAAAAAAAAAAAAAAGAAAAAAAAAAAAAGAAAATAAAAGGGGCTAGACAGAGTGAGACTTCATCTTCGTTTTAAAAAAAATTTTTCTTGGCCAGAGGCGGTGGCTCACACCTGCACTTTGGGAGGCCGAGGCAGGTGGATCACCTGAGGTCAGGAGTTTGAGACCAGCCTGGCCAACATAATGAAACCCTGTCTCTACTAAAAATACAAAAAATTAGCTGGGCGTGGTGGCACGCACCTGTAACCGCAGCTACTCAGGAGGCTGAGGCAGGAGAACTGCTTGAACCCAGGAGGTGGAGGATGCAGTGAGCCGAGATGGTGCCACTGCACTCCAGCCTGGGCCACAAGAGCAAAACTCCATCTCAAAAAAATTTTTTTTCTTTTAATAAACAAATAAATGAAATGAAATGGTCAAACCACTTTGGAAAACAATTTTTTGGTTTCTTAAAAAATTAAACATGGGCCGGGCACGGTGGCTCATGCCTGTAATCCCAGCACTTTGGGAGGCCGAGGCAGGCAGATCACAAGGTCAGGAGATCGAAACCTTCCTGGCCAACAAGGTGAAACCCCGTCTCTACTAAAAATACAAAAAGTTAGCCAGGTGTGGTGGCGGGCACCTGTAGTCCCAGCTACTTGGGAGGCTGAGGCAAGAGAATGGTGTGAACCCGGGAGGCGGAGCTTGCAGTGAGCCGAGATCAGGCCACTGCACTCCAGCCTGGGTGACAGAGTGAGACTCTGTCTCAAAAAAAATAAATAAATAAAAATTAAACATATTCATTTTATGACCCAGACATTTCACTCCTAGGTATTTACCAAACAGAAAGGGAAACATATGTCCACACAGAGACTTAAAGACAAATGGTCACAGCAGCTTTATTCATAATAGGTGAAAACTAGAAACGACGCAAATGTTTATCAACAGGTGAATGTATAAACAAATTGTGGTACATCCATACAACGGAATACTACTCGGCACTGAAAGGGGATTAATACTGATGATACACACAATATCTTGAATGAATCTCAAAATAGTTATTCTGGCCGGGCGCGGTGGCTCACGCCTGTAATCCCAGCACTTTGGGAGGCCGAGGCGGGCGGATCACAAGGTCAGGAGATCGAGACCATGGTGAAACCCCGTCTCTACTAAAAAATAGAAAAAAATTAGCCGGGCGCAGTGGCGGGCGCCTGTAGTCCCGGCTACTCGGGAGGCTGAGGTAGGAGAATGGTGTGAACCCGGGAGGCGGAGCTTGCAGTGAGCCGAGATTGCGCCACTGCACTCCAGCCTGGGCGACAGAGCGAGACTCCGCCTCAAAAAAAAAAAAAAAAAAAATAGTTATTCTGAGTAAAAGAAGCCAGACAAAAAGGAATGCATACTGTACGATTCTATTTACATAAACTTCTAGGAAACGCAAGCTAGTCTAGAGCGACGGA